TGTGGCTGTAGATAATGTATGGCGTTTCAGGATGATGAATATCGAGTTAAAATGTTATTGGGAAAAACCAACGCAAACTCTAACACTTCTTATAGGCAGCCCACTAGTTAGTATCCTATTTACTTAGTATCCAGTGAGAACACAGGGTCGTGACGTAGTGCCACAAGAGTTCCTCAAATATAAAGTTTTCGGGCTCATGTAAAGGAAACAAGCCTAGCGCACACTTGTTCCTTTCGCGGTCTACTTCAGATTGCTTGTTCGTCTTCATCATTTTTTTTATGAATCACCAAAACAATAACAAAAGATAACATAACCAAAATATAAAGAAAGAAACAGAAAATCTGAGTGTAAAAGGGTTCGGCTGCCTGTGGTTTGTAAATTCTCCCACGAAAACCCATTAATCATTATTTGCGTCAGTACTGCCAAGCAGTACACTCGTATCCAGGCAACTGTTCCGCGTGCGACAGGGTTGTGCGTAATGGCGCTGTAATACGTGACAGCGACACTGATATTTTACTCATAACAACTTGTTTGACAGCTCAGTAAGTTTAAAAATATTGGCATGTTTATAGTAAGCTTACAGTACAGTACTTCTAAGTTGAGGGCTCTAAGATCGTCTACAATACGAACATGCGTCAAAAACTACAAAAACAAAATATAGCGAGAATTGTGCAAGTTTTGTTAATTGTTTCAACACTTAGCGATTTCTAATGAAAGTCAATTCTCGCCATGCGAAAACACCGGTATTACGGGCACTTACATCCCCACTCCAAGGAAATAACTGAAACTAATTCYTTTTTTAAACGGGCAAACGCTATATCGGGCTGTTAATTACAGCCTCGAGGTTGTTCGTTATAACGAGAGCTGACTYAATTTGCTAGAATTCAGTTACTTCGTAGATGGCTACGATTCTGACGACGATTTTTTCTTTTAACCTATATTTCTTGAATTGAGGGCGCATTTAGTTTAATATTCGGACAGACATCAAACCGGTAACTGATCGCGAAAAGCGGAACCATCGTGCTTGAGCGAATCACAGCGCGTGATTCCCTGTCGGCGACTACGATACTCGAAGTTTTGCAATGCGGAACAAAAACCAAGATTAAGGACAACTTTGAACTGTATAGGGCGATATCACACCGATTTATGATCGTAAAAATCGTCCAACAGGATTTGAGCTGATCCGAACGCGAGATTTCCCGCGGTAACTGGGAACACACAGCCCCTTTTCAGGTGYTATTTTTTAACAGAATTTATTGACATATGTCGTACGTGGTTTTAGGTTCTAATTGATATAATACACTATAAAACCTTTCGGCGGCATCTTCTTAATTCCCTTAAGCTTTCATTGACTAAATTAGTAAGAAATTAGTGTTTTTTTTTTTTAAATAAAGATTAGTAAGTTTCTTGTGATTAAACCTTTTAAGAGCCATGTTTATGCTTCCTAAGATGGCATGCGCATAAACAATGACTTGGACTCTCTTTCTCCCGAGACTAAAATTGTAGGTTTGAGTTATACTTTGAAAACTGATTAGATTTGAGACTCTTTAAGTTGCACTTTAGGACCTCGTCAGTCCTTAATGGCTTTYTGAACATCAARCTCMAATCAATTTCTGTTTATAGTTGTAGAGTCCGCCAATTTCGATTTCATTTTTCAGCCATTTCCAGATCGTTTTGAATAGAGTATTCAACTTCAATAAAATTGCATTACAATTACTTGGTTTACTTAGGGAAAGCGCTTTTTGTTTTAGTTTTTAAGTTTCTAATGGTAGACTTATCGAAAGTGATATAATTAAAATGCGCTCGTTGAGTTTTGGCATTATTCGACACGTTTTTTTGAATTTTGAAAAGGTTTTTTTTTTACCTAAGGAAGTCACTATCGATCGTTTCCTGTTTTTGTGTCATTTTTTTATCACGTAGTCTGCCATTTAATAGAATTTTACTCGAAAATTTAGGAAATGACTTTATAAAATGGCGGGAATATTGGCTTTTGCAATAAGACGAGTGCGAGTGACATGGCCGAGTTCACGTTATCCTAATAAAAGAGTTTAAGACAGGAAAATAATAAACACCGTTTAATAACAGAGTAAAAGGATAGACTTCTTGGAAATAGTAATTAGGAATATGAAAATCGGATAAAACATACTTTCGATGCGTGCGGCACATTTTAAGCAATAAAATTTAAGGAAATGCATTTATCATAAAAGCGTAAATAATAACAGTGCAAATAATACGGACAAAAAAGCGGCGAATATTAAATGTTAGCAAACTCCGGAAAAAATGAAATATTCTACCAGTAATACAATATAGAAATGGAGTCCTAAAGATAAGACACGTCTGTCTTTTGTTTGTTAGTATATAYATATAATACACATATATCAGTAATGTTTCTCCGTGTAAACCTAAAGTTCCGGGATTTCTAATGCGACTTGATATATTGATGACCATCGCGAACACAATGGGAAACTAAACTACTTGAGTCTCTTTTATCCTGTATAGATTGCCGTCTTAATCCTCAACTATGTAATAATACCTTAGTAAGACACCAGTCGAATAGGTTACAATGAAATATAAACGGATTTGGGATTTAAACACCCCTTTCCTAGCCCTCTACGTTTTGATACGGAAACCCAGTGGTTCCCACAGCATTTTGCGTCTTTATTTCAATGTCGAAGTTAAGGYACTTGATTCTAAGCAAATAATCCCGATAGCTAGTTTGGACTTCTTTTTAGTTTTTCGGAAAAGAAGGTCTTGTCATTTTTTTTTTTAACCGTTGTCAACATTAACTATAAAAGGCCATTTTGAATGGGCAATTCCCATAATGCATTTCACGATTATTTTTCCAATGAAAAATCCCGCCAAGTTCGTCACAAGTCCATTTTCTTGTAACGATTGTGTGTCGCCTTCATTATTATTATTTTTTTGAATGCAGCCGTCCGCAAGGTCTAATATACTTTGCCATGATTGTAACCCTCTTAACCGCACTAAAAGCTTCTGTAGAAAACCCCGATTGGTCATTTATTTAAGTGACTTAAGGTAGACTTGCTCTGATCTCCAAAGTGTTTACATACTAAAGAGCAACTGCAAACTTAGTTTTCTCGAAAAAATTCACTCGGCAGAGAAAAATGTCTAAGRACTTATATTCCTCTTCCTTTAAAAACACTCAATATCCGTATCTAAACGTGTTTGTCATTGTTTCTAGTAAAACGATTTTCATCTTTTTATTTTGAATTGCATGCTGTTTGAATTTTATATATYATATATAATAAATATTAAAAGCAATTTCCTTTCCTTTCATGTGGACTAATGCTTATATAATGGACTTCGACGTCAAAACTATAATCCCATACGTTTAACTTGACATTTGTTTCCAATTTTATTTGCTTTTCTTTCTCATTTGAGTTGTAATGTTTAAATGTTTGACGTTTCTAGTTTTGGAACATAATAATGTGCCGCTTTTTTGGTTTGCCTTGAGTGTGGGTCGAAAACTGGAGATTAAAGCGGAGTTCTCTTTACAAAAAGCCTTTGTTCWTCAATTTGTTTACCGGGATTTGGCTGGAGGGTTTATAAGCTAGARAAAAGCTGTCAGGTTTAATCTCACAGCCAATCCACGGAATCTGGAAAATCATTGCCAAATCATTGTTTATTCAAATTTTGAAGAGTCTAAACGATGTGCCTGCTTTTTAGGAAGACRTTTAACTAAAATAACCGAGCTACAATATCGTGAATGCTTTTGTTTAGTCAATAGATTTGCATCGGGTGCCAGCTGCAAACGAACCACGAAACTAAATGATSACACTCGCAATAAAAGACACATAAAAATGACAAATTAACACACTCACATTGCTGAAATTCCGGCTCATTTACGCAGTCTTCGAAGACATCCACACAAACTCCAGGCTCRGTGTGTTTTCCTGTAAAAAAAGCAAAGAAATTTCTCTATTTAGCTTTCGTGTACGAGTCCTCAGCTTTYGACCTKACCAGAAGATGGTGTTATGGTAATCTGGCCCTTGTCATCTCAACAAGCTAAACTTGTCGACAGAAAACACTAAAAGTTCTTCTTTTTTCAAGGAACTTTTGTATAGTAACTCACGTGATTTTTAAATAATTACTTTTTTTCTCTTTTATTAGCCCGAAAATGTAGTTTCTCTAAAAGATAAGCACTTTTTTWAAAATCGCTCGAGGCAATATACCGGCTCTGCTCCAGTTTTACGAAAGATACATGACACACTGATAAATGCTCCAAAAAACGTCTTTTTTCATTKTACAAGAACGTCAACCCAGGAAATTGAAATCAGTAATGGATTAGTTTTATAAATGATATGACATGCTATACTCAATGAACGATCAAAATTCGAAAGTTGCAAAAAGTGATGTTCAAGAGGYCTATGTCAATTTATTTAAACAGATGCGAATTTCTCTCCCGCGTTTTGATTGCTAACCACAGTATTCCCATGCGAAACATTGCCGTCATCAGCGAGTATTATGAAGATATCCTAGYGATAAAAGATTCCTTTATGCATTAAACCTTAAAAGAGTGACACTTGACCATGTACAAATCCTTGGACCTTGTTCCTGCATGTCACTGTTGTATGCTTATAATCAGAGACGGAATTTTCCGTTCAACTATTGCTTTCATAAAACTAAAATTCCTGGTCAGTTAGTACCTTGAATGCTTTCTACTGGAGAGTAATTGTTCAGAAGTAACCCAGCCACCAGATATCCTACCCAACAAGCGTATACCCTCGCCATAATCCTTAGAAAGTCATTGAATCCAATGTCTTTTATGCTGGTGACCCCGGCGTAGTTGCTGGTTSTTCCGACTGGTGAACACAGCCCACCTTTTTAAACTACAGATAGCTMGTTGATTGTTCAAAATCCGCTTCAGTTGGTTGAATGGTAATTAGCTAACATGAATGTATTTTTCATCAMCRCTGCACGCAACTTGTTTCATCTTCAATGATGTAATATCGTACTGAACCTACAGCGGTGTTATCATCCCTGTGCGTCGTACTCAGCCTCTCACAGGCTAAGTTTCGGTGACAGCCGATGWGCGCGGTATAAAGACACTGTGGACAATGAACCACATGTAGGCACCTTTAATAAACAACGAACACGGTTAAATATAAATCGCCTTGAGTTAATATGTCAACGAKGTAACATGAGACCAAGTTCCTTTAGAAATAACACTATGTAGAACGCTATAAAGTTTCTCCCCTCTTATATAATTGATTCTTTTTGTAGCTCTCTCGTACAGCCGTCTGCAATGTTTCTGCATACCCTAAAGTGTTTACACCCTGT